TTGAAAGTATCCCATATGCATCGTAAGGACCAACATTTCCGAATAGAAATATTTTATGTAAATACGCAATTATTTTTGAAAATATAGCCGCAACTGCATTTCTAATACGAAAAGTAAGTTCAACTGAATGCGTTTTTATCACGTACATTTAGAACTTGCTCATGAAAGTTCTACGAAGTCAGGCGAGCGTACTTATTCTCATTACGTGGCTACCTAATATGTTAACTTAGCCAGAAACGAACTTTACAAACTGAAGCAAAAGCTTCTTCTGCGGAGTATTCCTCTGATATTTATTCCTACTCGAATATATGTCAAAATATAAGTTAGGCGTTAATTAAGTCGGAAGAATCAGCGTAAGCGCGCAAAGTACTAACTGAAAACGACGCTTTAATCCTAAAAACGTGCGATCAAAAATGAATAATAACGTCCGTTATAAACGGACGTGGCAATTGTGGCAATCAAGGCTCCGTTCCCAGAAACCTTGTCGTATAATTCCGTTACACTTTATCCGATACAACATATTGTTGAATGAACTCCGCATGGGTCTGCGTATCTATAAGAATCCGAAAACGTGCGTACGCACGCATTGCGTAGCACTACGAGGTATAGTTCCTACGTGATGAGACAAAACGCGAGGAAAATGATCACCTCGAACACAGTTAGCGACTTTTATTAATTGTAACCTAAACGGAACATTGTAAACATGTCCATCTTGGTATTAGTAAGCTAATGCTGCTAGATAAGTTTAAAGTTAGTTAACCAATATATAGGAATGTTATTTTCTTGATGATTAATGTCTTTACTAGGCCTTTAACTCTTAGCACTTATCGAGATAGCTCCAGCTTTAACTAGAATTTTGGCGTAATGATACGTTCCATAAAAGTACATAAGTATATATACTTGTGTATACTATAAACAGACATTACATGTGTTGTTTAAAATTTCGTGATCTAGTTGTAGTTTGAAGAACCGCAAAGCACATGTTGATGTCGGCAAATTACAACTTTCTTCATGTCGGGCTGCCTTACGCCCGCTTCTGGTCTTTTTGACTTCGTAGATCCTTGAAACCTCATTACTTTACGGGGTAATCAGTGATTGGTGAAGATTATTTTTTGAACTCTTAACATTGCCTTTAACCAAGAGGGTCTACTTGTAGACCTATTCGAAGAACCTTGAAAAGTGTTTTCTATTAACCGATTCATTTTACTGTATAAGAAGTCAGTTCGATTATACGACTGAGTGTTCTATATGGTAGACTAGCTGGGTCTGCCATATACTGACAACGTTTTTTCTCAATACAGCGCTTAGTGACAAAATCACTCCTTGAAAGAATTTACGTAGCTCAAGCAGCCAAAACTCAGTATATAATAACTACGCTTATTTATAGGTGCCTCTTAGATACTCTACGCGCTTACATGCCGACGTGCTTGAATGTTTTGCTTCCCTGTGCAGTCGTGCAGTGGCTTTACAAACGCTCAAAGAATGAAGACGAGACTACTAAATGAATGTTTTTACATGATGGCATTGGTTAATGTTAGACTATTTTTCAGACCTGTTATTTAGTTGATGTTTTCTGGTATTAGACTCTAAGATTAGCAAAAATATGCGATAAATGTTATAATATGTTAAATAATAAATATTAGCTAAAAATTAGATAAAAATTTAAAGAGTTGAAAGGGGAGCGAACTTCCCTTGAATCAATTAATAGTTCAAGTACATCTGTACACTTTCTGCCGCTTGTTTTTTGCTCACACCTGTTATTTACTAAAATCTAATTGTAAAATACTATATAGAAAATTTTGGCGTTAACAGTTAAACACGTACGTGTGACACTCCTTAAAAATTGACGCAAGAAGAACTGAATTAACAAGATGATTAGCATTACCTAAATTGGTAGTATATTTCAATCATAGTATTAATACCGTATGCAGCAGTTTCGTAGATCCGCCTAATAAATATATTGACTGATTTACTCGTCAGGTTCTTATTCAGTCAAACCCTTCGTCCGAACTAGAAGATACATTCACCCCGGTGATGGCAACTTACAGCCCACACTGTGATAATGGCGTAGTCGATCATTAAATATTTTTGATAGGGTTCTTTTTACTCGGACGTGTGCCTTGACGTATGCTATTACATATCATAATAACCATGCCCAAGCACCGGACGATGTAGGGGGGACCGGCTTGTTTCACGCAGACTAATTCCATATGCAGTGACGCGCGCCAGAACATTATGATCGTTATTACAGACACCTAACGCATGCAATAGGCACTAGCTTTATCATAGTAAAATAGTCTCATCGATAGAAGAATAATGGCACGTATTTAGCTATGCAATGAACGAGAACCCTTTTGTTTAATGGGACATAACACGTTTTTGAAAGGAACCTCAGAGTACGAAGTCCTGATCTTAGAGAGGCGACAGTTCAAAGCGTGCTATCCTTTTAACGGGAAATGCTGTCTACAAGCCATATTGACTTGCAACACAATATACAACATCTACCGACAAGCCTTCATTTTAGTTGAAGATCTGGTTTTATGTTAACAAGCTTCACGTCGAAGATCTGGTTTTATGTTAACAAGCTTCACGTCGCAGTAAGGACATACTCGGGCGTATTTTGTCTTGCTACTATTTCTTAAATTCGTTTTATCTATCAGAGCGCATAAAATATTTTGCTTTTTGTTTAAGCTATACCTAGATGTTCTGTGCCCATGGACTCGGGTCAGCTTTCGGGCATAACTGTCCTATGTAGAATGAATTACAATTTGAGATTAGGAAACATAGCTTGGTTGTCTTTTCCGGCTGCAAGTAACTCTCAAGCTGTTACAAAAGAAATATCACGAGCACACAGATGTAACAACAAGCCTTTCTGTAGACATGTCTAATCAACATGTTAGAACTGAAACTAGATAAACGTTTATCAACGTGCTTTGTTCGAAACGTTTTCAGACTTGAGACAGCTATTTATAGCCAATACCATGTTATCACAAATGCTTTTTAGGGTAGTCATTCAAGATGTCAGGAAATCTGAACAATCCATTTAACATTGATTCGTCAAGCCTAGGCTTATGGATGACATTGATGCCTAACAACTTTACTAACAACAACGACACTTTAGGTTCTGACTGTTGTTTTTGACTGTTGACTCCGCACGCTGAGGAACAACAGCATTACTTTATTTTTTTTCATTATGTAACTACGAACCCGTATAACATTATGATATTCAGAAATGTGGACAACACTTTACAATCCTTCGTGATGGAAGGATTCAATTATTTCAACATCTTTTTTTTATTTCCTCGTGTGTCTAAGCGCAGCGCTAAGAACACTGGCTGTGGCCGTTTCCACACAAATAATCCCTTCAGTTTGTAATAAAAAAAAACCAGAAAGTATATCAAACTATGTGACTGTCGGATGGACCTATTTTTCTTTATTCACTCAATTTAATCAAAACGATTTTTTGCTGAGTGCTAGAGATAAGGGGAACACACAAAATGAGCTGTGGTAAATTAGTGACTGGTATCGAGACAAAGCTAAATAAGTTTTGGCTTCGAAGGTTCCTATCTAAATATTTAGAAAAAATAGCTAACATTGTGGTAATATCATATGTATCGAGGAATCTGATAACACTCCAGTTCTGTACAAACCACAAGTGTACATGTACTACTTAAAAGAAAATAATTGTATTCTTATGAATTTTCGTAATAAAGCAAGTTTTCTGAGCTAACACCTCGCCTCTTACGTTCCTTCAAAAACTATTATTATAATGACAGTCAAAAATCCAGTACTATAACCCTGTTATTCCCCGGGTCTGTTATTCTGAACCTTCGTAGAGGTGATTGACCACCCCCCCTCCCCCCCGGCCAACCTCAATCATGAAACGATTTTAAGGCGACTGCCTATGTGCAGATTGCGAACTAATCTACCTATTACGATACTTTTACATTTTTTTTTTTTTTTTTTTATTAGGGCACGTTTTGCGTTTATATACGCGATAGCGAACTCAAAAGAGCGGCCCTTCGGGAACTACCCAGACTTTTGTACCATACTACGATGCTTGCTTTCGTCTTTATTCTTTATTTTACTGCCGTCAGTTTTTGGGTCCCTGTTCGTCAACATTGCAGATATCACTTTGCCTACCGCGGAAATCACTGAAAGTGGGCTAGTCCCGATTGTATTCTACCAGAAATTATTTTTTTTTTTTTTTTAGTAAATAAAGATAGTGTACCGTTTTCAGGTGTTCTATAGTCACACTTTATTAAAGTGAATGGTCTCTATTGGGTGAGATAAGTAGGCAATAACGGTTATAGAACATGCTGTTGTGACTAGCCGTCTTGAAACACACACGCGGCGTTCTGTAGACACTGCGTAATATATTGCTCACGTAACGTCTGATCCAACAAGTTGATGAAAGGCATTTTTGGGATGTAACAGCTACCTCTTCCTTCAAAAGGGATATTTTCTTGACAGACAATAATAGATTGTGCGAATATCCTGACTGGGCTCGGTATTGGTGAATAATATGATTTGAAGTCGTTCCATGTATTTTTTGTATGTAAACAATTATTAGCCATAGAACTTTATTCTGAAGATCATTCATTTTCGTACACAAGCTAGCGTAGGAGCTCTCATTAAACGATATCGTTTTACGGAATCAGCAATGGGCTATCTATACATGATTATGGGAATGGGTCCAGATAAAAATAAGTTTGCACTTGCTATTAGATGCTCATCAGTGAATCAGCTGGCTGATATTTTTCCAATATATTTGAAAATTTGCGATTCGTTAGCTTCGTGGCCTCTTCGAAATTATGTTTTGAAAACTGAAAGCGTATGGAGGACCAATTTTAAGCAAATGGGTCGAGTTGATGCAGTGAAAGGGTAATCGCATTATTCTCTTTCCACTTCTAGGAATTCATAGCTAACCTAGGTAATGCCTACACTTTTCAACAGGGCTGACACGCTATATTTGTAGTTCTAAGTAGAAGGTCTTAGATCGAGCTAGACAACAACAGGAACAATTACCCCCCAAAATCGTTTGTGGCATGTTTTTGCCGATATTTTCCTTTAACGCTCGGTTACATGAAACGGCCGGTTATACAGTTTTAAGTGATTACCTCAACAAACTATAGAAAACTTAATGCGTTTTCGATGCAATCGACTTTCGCCATTTGAGTCTCTTTCTTTCCAAGCTGGACCTATGACTATTACCCTGTCTAAGTAAGTAGGTGTTTTTCCAACAAGTTCCTCTTAAAGATATCATTCTTCTATCCTCTATCTATCAAGATCAATCTCTTCACCTGCCATAAGTGGAAACAGGGTATATTGTTCACCGCGAAGTGGATTTCGTAGAACTATACTGTGGAAGCGTTCGTATTGCTTCTCAATACAAGTGCATAAAGCACGCCATTGTCCGTAACATAAAACTCGCTTTCATTGGTTAACCAGTTCGTCAATCAGAATCAACTGTATGCACGCTTAATTAACACTTTATATTTTAAACGGGCACGTGCAATGGAGACTATCAGTAATTGTTGAACAGAAGACATTAAAGGAGCGCTCGTCCAATCTTACAAACGATCCTCGCGTGCGTCAAAGGTGCTCCACGGAACTTTGAAACGTATGCGAAGTATTGCAGGGTTTTCACGCTTCTTCAGCACTTACCGTAATCACAGTAAATTTGGTAAGTTTTTCAAGGGATAGTGTGCAGTTAACAACAAATCTAAATGTTGATATTTTCAATGTATCTAATTATTAGGGGGGGGGGGGGGGGGCACTCCCTGTCTTACCACTGAACTGAAATTAAAAGTTTGTTAAAAAAATTCAAAGAGACCTTTTACATTTTTCTCATAGCCCAACTATTCTATATTCTTATAGTAAGCCAATACTTCAACAGAAGATGGGAAGTTTCTGGCAGATTACTATTATAGTCAAATCCAATGGTGACTGAGGAAGGCCGTTTGCCCAACATTAGGGACAGGCTTTCTTCATCTTTACTTAATAATTGTAGTAGCCGTTGTCGCCTTGTTCATCTGCTCTTTACTAGAGACCCCTTAAACAACCATACTACCAAACAAGCGATTCTCTACGCTAAGTGATCACATCAAATGGAGCAATTTTTTGCAGTTTTATTTACTGCTATACCGGCTTTCAATGTACAACGCTTTTGTTTTTCAACCCGTGTGTTTTTCGCAAGTTACTATAAAGAGCTATTTTACGCTCTTGTCCTAATAGTGTTTTTCTTCCTTGGAACACGTTTGCCTGTTAGCTGTTTGTATCCCTGTGAACGACGTGTCCGATCACAGGGGGTCATTATTGGAACGTACGCTTTGGAAAACGCTATATTTAGCGAAGCACATGTCAGCTTTAAGTATTCGGTTAATAACATCGTTTTGCAGAAATAATATGCATACGTGGTCACTATAATGGTAGAGCAATATTCTATTATTTTCGCAATATTCGAAACTGCTCAACACGATTCGTAGGATTCTTTTTGAGCCATTAAACCTATCTGGTCTTCAGCAGGCTTCAGCGATTTTGCCGTTACAGAATCCGGGACTTCTGCAATCATTGTGAGGCGCGCTGTCTGCATCTCGATCGCATTATTAGCGATTCGTATCGTTGATGAAAGCCATCTGTATCGTAGCTTATCTAGAACGGCGTTTCGTATCGGTTAGTTGGGCTAGTTTTTCCACATTACGCGGTACCTTGCTTGATTTTAGAAACGGACCGCAAACAATCAAACGTGTCACTATGATTAGTAAAAAGAGATCAATGAGAATAATACAAAATTGACTAAATATATTTGTGTTTGATATGTCTGTCTACGTTTCGATTTGTCGCTGACGTCGTCTGCAACAGGCGTCACAGATCTTTTTTCATAAACAAAACTCGCTGAAGATAGAATACTAGCTAAATGCTTTACGGCCATTCGGTTAACGTGAGTAAACGTTTCGTAACGCACATAATCGATCTTTCTGTTAGTCGTAAAGTAACGTATATCACGGGGCGTCTGCTGGTGTCTGATGTATTCACAGTAGCCTAACGTGCCTAAAGCAGCTACTGTCATTAGAAAACGATATGATCCATTTGCGCACCACTGCTTGAGTGCGATTCTTTGCACTGGTTAAGCACGTTCGTTAGCCATTGCCGCTAGAGTCTAGCCTTCAAAAGACAGCTGGAAACGAAGCACTTGGTGACGTTATAATAAAGGGTGATTTATTGATTAATTTGTATTTTTCAATTTGACATCTCTCGGCCCATTTTTCGCTTGCAAAAGTAGATTAAGGTGCACTCCGTGCCTATGAAATGGTTCTTTACGTTAGGGATTAGCTTGGATTCTCCATGAGACTAAGACCTTCGCATACATCGCCGGCTTGAGTGTAATGCTCTACGCGAAAAGTGAATTTTTTACTTTTGTCACAAGGGGAACGTAACGTTAATAGACACGGTCCCTTTATGTATCATCGCTGGCGTGGTCGCACAAAGGCGGCAGTCAGTCCTCAATATGTGACAGAGAGCGGCAAAGAAGCAATATCCGTCCAAGAAGGTTGGGTAAACCTTAAACACTGAGCTGCTGAAGCAGTTTTTTAATGTCGAAATTGAACAATAATAGTAACAAAGTCGAGCAGAGTATTATTTACTGGCGGTGAAGCGATTTTAGAAGACGAAAACACTCAACTTAATCGACTTAACTTAACTTAATCGACTTAGGGTAACTAATGCAAGAGGTGGTAAGGTGGGCGCGTGCACATATTTGAGATTATGATACGTGAGCTAACAAGGAAATAAGCTGAAATTTCATCTTCCTTGATCTTTCACCGCATAGACTAATGTGAACGAGTGCCCACTATTTCAAGACACAGAAACGCTTCAAAATAAGTAAACGTTAAGGGTGTACTTCACTCAGATATGGGTCATATTTACGCGGTCGTAGTTTACCCATGACCTTATCTATGGGGAGAAGTTTGCCACTCGTTCGTTCGTTCGTTCGTTCGTTCGTTCGTCGAGCTGTATCGTCTTCTTTAGTGAATTTTTATACTATCAAAGGTTGCAAAGGACAACTTCTAATGTAAACTAACTTGCAAGTTAGATATGAACTGAACCGAACTTCAACTGCATCTGTTGCTACGCGTAATAGATACGATAACCCGGATGCCTTATGCCTTTGGACACCGAACACTAACTATTGTTTCTAGCATTTCACTGACTATACGGCCTTTGGAGTGGAGCCTTTGAACGACCACTAATAAAAAGACATCTATCTGTGGAGAGCACTATGAACTCTGGCATGCATATGACTGACTGCCAACATTGGTAAATATTATAATTTTTTTGTCCTTATTTTTATGCTGGAAATCGCTGGCACTGAATGCTATTCGTAGCTATAGAAACAAGTACGTGTAGTAGCACATTAATGACTCTTTCCGTGTAAATTGAATAGAATGAAACTAACGCCTAATTAGTAAAACGATTATATAAATACGTTCAATGGAGACTACGTCTTAACTCAGGTTAAACCTGCTAAATAAGGCGATGACACGTAAATATTAGCTAGTTGACACTTATTGTCTGCTGATAACGCGGCGATAGAGACCAGTGGTTCAATTTAATTTGAACCCATTTCCCCGTGAATCCATTTTCTTTTGTTAGCCCTTTCGTTGGTTAGATATGTGCTAAGCTTCTCGCAAAAATCTCCTCTTTGTTGCTTTGAACCTTTTTGGAAGCTTCAGAACTCTTGTAATCTTTTTTTTTTCATTGTTTCATCAGTGTGTGAGGCGTGCCCGATAACAACTATTGTCGCTGCAATCGAGCATGTGACCTAAGTCATGCTTAGGCTGTCATAGATATTTTGTCAAGCGTGATTGATGGACATTTGAGGCAGCTGAAGTGGCATCACCGAAAGTTCCGTTGATTTTGCTCCATATTTTTGTGCAGTGGGTCGGGCACGTTTGGGAAACGGAATTTACTTCTCTTTCGGGTTTGCGGATCAATGGGATGAGCACAAACTGCTGGTTGGACGGGGCGGTATTGGCAGTTATATAGAAAGACAACGACTCTAGCGTCTTCACCGGCTCCGTTGTTTTTCGTGTCGTATCTTTGGCTGAAATCGATTGAATCTATACGGAAAGTGAGAAATCGTATTCATCATTATATTGGCATACGAGAACTACCTGATGTCCCGAAATGGAATTAGACAGTTACTGATTTCTGTGATTTTGGATAAGTAACATATATCATGTTTACTACTGCTCTTGCCCGGGCAGAACACACGCGGAGTTAAAGACAATAAATTTTATGCATGAGGGTAGATTTCCTACTCGTTAATCGTTTTGCTGGTCGTCAGTGTCATCTGCTAACGCTACGCCATTTGAAATCCACTGTAATCCGCTAACAACTGCCACGTTGATGATCCTCTTGAGCTGGAGCAAATACGAACCGTCACAGGCTGTGGGACAGAGCATTTTCCTTTATCATTAAATCTCCAGGTATTAAGCACCCCCATGATCAAAGCGTTACTGAGCAATTGCAAAGATAACATGACCATAGGTATAAGGAGATGAGCGGCTGTTCACATCGCTAAATCCTGCTGGGGATCGACGCTCAGCGAAGCGTAGGCGCAGGGGCGTGTTGTGGGAGTTTCCTGGGATGGAATCTAGTACTGATATACTCTTAGGAGCTCCTCGGTGCACTCCATAAAGCGACGTTGGTTTTTCCTGAAATGGTGTTCGCTCGTAGTAACCGCTTGTTGACGAACGCTGATTTTAGAAACCAAAGCTAAACGTTTCGTTACGAACCATCGGTGGATATTTGGTGCTGCAGAGAACTTTGGAAGTTAGTGTACATCCTCAGGTTTGATCAAAACCTAATGAGTGATATGTTAGATATAAAAAAAAAAAAAAAAAAAAGGAAAGCAAGATTGCTTTTCACATTTGAACTCATCTTATCTTTCTTAAGCATTAAATTGAGCTTTCAGTTTCAAAATGGTCTTGCTCTAAGAGTGTCATATAGTAACAGACCAATGCTTGAGATGAGTTTGGCCATTTGTATCAATAGTTGCGGATCTTCGTTTGCCTATAAACTTCGAAAGGATTTAATGAGATCAGCGAATGTTAACAAAAGGTTATCGCTATTCAACGAATGTCGAAGGGACAGGTTCGTATCCACAGAAACGATCTGCGGTGTGCAAAAAGAAGTGATGTACACCTATAAATGTCGTGAAAAACTTTGTGAGATATATGTACTGTCTCAATGTGAACGATGCCCTCATCTCCAGCTGTGGCAATAGAGAATTTAAGGAAAGATAAGGTCTCGTTCCAGAGATGCTTTTGCAGGTGATTTCATACGTTCATAGCTGTAAATGCATGCTCTGAAATGGAACCTTTCCAGGTGGCACCATACATCGTAGCTTGCACATGAAACACATGAAAGCTCTATCTTTCCCATTCTAGTTCTACAACCATAGAGATTAGATGGTAAGTGAGAACCGGGAAATTTATAGACAATATATCTGCGACTGTTCAGGAAAACTTAACGTTGCCCCGCAATGCCAAGGTCCGCTAAAGCCTTTCAGCATAATACATATATAAATAACAGCCTTCTGATGCTATCTTTTTAAATTGTTGTCCTTCGATTGGTGTTGTTCATTGAATGCTCAGCGTTGGCAGCGACGACGCTTAATCG